AATGAAGACCGTTAGTTGTCGAATTGAATTTAGCGATCAAGTTCGTTTGATTAAACTGTCTGATTTTCAGACCCATGTACCAAATGGTCATATGTTTTGTGCTGCGCAAATATTCGATTAAGAAGTGGGTTATTGATGAGGACAAATGCTCATGTACCCTCTACAGCTCATTGAATGTATGTTATTACCCCCCAAAAACGTCATTCAGTCACCTAAATAGTGTCTGACAGTGAAGTCTAGAAAGTAAACGGATTTCCTTGCATAATTTGAATACTATGACACTGCTAACGTTCAAATTTCACATATAAGACAAATTTCTACAAAACATGATTTTGGCTGCAAAATGAATACATTACCTTTAATGGTTGAGAGCAAGCATGTCGGGCTTATTTAGAGTTTGACAAAAGTTGATTTCTACACGTATTCATTTTGCTTTATCATGATTAATTGATTGATTAATTGATAGTTCGGTTGATTGGTTGGATGGTCGGTTCATCTGTTGATCTATTGATTAGTGATTGACTGCTGAGGTACATGATTGATTGGTTGATTGATTTAGTTATTTATTTATTAAATTCATTAATGAACTAACATGTTATTTTAATGCATAATACAGACGTGGTCTAAACGATTAAACAGACTGAAGAGGGGCATATAAAGAGAACAGAGCCAATGTCGAAAAGCCTAAGTAAAGAAATCAGATGAGAACATAGGTAGGCAGCGTAGCAGAGATTGCACTTTGCTTAGACTGCGTTCGTAAGGTCATAATACTACATCTAATGACATATGTAGCATATCATACATTCTTCACAAACAAGGCTTAGTTCTTTCCTTCTGATTTCTTAAAATTGAACCTCCATGCAGGGGCGTCGCCAAAGGGGGAGGGGGTGGGGTGCGACACCCCTCCACCTGTCAGGATATTGTCGGTAAAATTACGCTGCCGTCGGGAAAAAAAAGAAAAGGGGGAGGGACAAAAGAGAGGGATAGGTAAAGGAAAACAAGGAAAGAAAAAGAAAAGAAAGAAAGGGAAAAAAAAGGAAAGAAAAGAGAAAGGAAAGAAAGAGAGAAAAAGAGGGAGAAGACGAAAGAAAGGAAAAGAAAGAAAAGGAAGAAAACAAAACAAAAAGAAGAAAAAAGAGAAAAGGGAAACAAAAGAAACGGGGGGGTGAAGAGAGGAGAGAGGGGGAGGTAAGAACTTGAGAAAAGAGGAGTGGGAGTAAAAGAAGGGGGGGGGGGGCTTGTGGGTGGAGACGTCTCGTTAAGGAAGCAAGAAAGACATGGGTTGCTGTGGTGGGTCAGCTGTGTCGGTATTCTTGCTCGATCCTCGTGTACTATATCAAAGCAGAAGTTTGAAGTCGGTGAGATGTATATTGTCGGCCGACAAGTTTTTTTCCCCTACGAACTGTGACTTTTTATCCGCTGTAACGACTTCGAGAGTGACTACAACTACAATACTTGTATTTTCTCGAAGTTTCACTTTCCTATAATATCAGCTAAAGAAATCAGAGGTTTAAAATTTTCGGGGAAACTAATTCAAACAAGGATTAAGAGTCAACAACGGTACGACGAATCGTCTTCCTTTCTCTATATCTTGATAAAAGGCCAAAATTTCCGCGCTTCGCGCGGGTGGGGAAAACTTCATTAAGACGAGTCGAGAACGGTACAACGAATCGTTGTTTTTCTCTAATAATTTAAGAAAACGTCTAAGCTTCCGCGATTCGCGCAGAGGGGAGGGGGAACCGAATTCAGACAAGGATTAAGAGTCGAGCACTGTTCAACGAATCGTCTTCTTTCTCTAATAATTTAATGAAACGCCATAACTTCCGCGATTAAGATGAATTCAGATAAGGATTAAGAGTCGAGAACAGAACACCGAATCGTCTGCTTTTTCTCATAATTTATGAAACGTCTAAAGCTTTCGCGCTTCGCGCGGGAGGGGGAGAAACTGAATTCAGACGACAATTAAGAGTCGAGAAAAGAACACCGAATCGTCTGCTTTTCCTAATAATTTAGGGAAACGTCTAAGCTTCCACGCTTTGCGCGGGAGGGGGAGAAACTGAATTCAGACAAGGATTAACATCGAGAACGGTACAGCAAATCGTCTACATTTTATAATAATTGAATGAAACGTCAAAGCTTTCGCGCTTCGCGCCGGAGGGGGGGGGGGGTGATTTATTCAGACAATAATTAACAGTCGAGATCGTACAATAAATCGTCTTCTTTTCCTAATAATTTAGGGAAACGTCTAAGCTTCCACGCTTCGTGCGGGAGGCCTAACACCGACACCCCTTTAATGAGCGCGCTTTACGCGCTCTTTAAGTGATTCGCTTGCTCACTACCGCCCTTCCTAAAATAAGATCCTAGCTCCACACCTGCATTAAAATATATAGCTTTAATGTTGACTAATTTGAAGAAATAATTCGTATATTTATGTCGTCGAGAAAAATGATCATTTGTGCATACGCAATTACTATAGATAGTCCATAGGAAAAACAATTTAGCCTTCGGCCCCGGGTTTATAGGGTTAAATTTGTAGATATTGCCATATTGGGAAATTTAATTTTGTCGGTAATTGGTGGCTAGTTTTATCGGTAATCGTTGGCCTCTACACCCCCCCCCCCCCCCCCCCCCCCCCCCCCACTGAAAAAGGTCTAGCGACGCCTCTGCCTCCATGATGTATCATTCAGTCGACGTGTTGATGATCCGGAAGCTCCTCTTTTTCATGACCTGATGGGATTGACAGGTATCAATACAATTATGAAGGAACTTGGCTAAGAAATGACATATCAATATCGGACGGATTCACTCGAATAGGATTTCGAGAGTATTTCAGTACTCGATCAGAGAAGCGGTTCTGGACTTATACAGTGATGGTAAATTAATTTTGTATTTAGTTTGCCCTGATTAGAGAACTTTAGATCAAACTGGGTTAATTACACCTTTTCATAAGACCCTGTTCTCAGCTCATGTTACTGTATACTCTAAACATAAATTATTATTGTTAATATGATTATCATTATAAGTATTATGATTTTGATTTAATTATCATTATTATCAGGCACGTACGCAGGTGTGGGGGGTGTTTTGGGGTTAAACCCCCCTAAATTTGTTTGAATATTTTTTGCTCATGGGGGGGGGGGGGGGGTGTGCTGAGTAAAACAAGACGAATTAATGTTCCTTAACCCCCACCCCATCCCCCCCCCCCCCCACACTGAGTGAAATATCGGTCGGCGCGATTTTCAATTTTCAAACACCCTCCTTGAAAAAGTCCTGCGTACGCCACTGATTATTATTTATATCATTAATATTACCATTATCGCTGATTATTATCATTGTTAATACTTCTATTATTATTATTATCTTCATTATATACTATCATTTTTATTCCTCCTTTTTTTCCCCACTGTCCAGGTCTGCTCTTTCCATTTGGATTAAACGAAGGGGACGAATTCCTATACGCCACCGTTGACGGTTCGACAGACGAGCTACCAATCTCCGTCGCCTTCCCGTTTTTCGATAACGAGTATATCGGTCTTTTTGTAAGTCCGTCGTAGCTTGAACTAATATATTTTGTTTAGCAATCTGTCAAATCATTTAAGTGACAACAAATTTATGAACCCATATCATAGATTTTACATCACATTTTCGTATATAATCATCTTAACACAAGCAATGTACAATGGATACGATGAAGATATCAAACCTAACATTTCTCTGACTTGTTTTGCATTGTAAGAGGATTGACAAGATTTTAATACAACACATATTTTACATTGAAGACATGCTGTGGTTGAAACCGCCTTGGCCACTCAAAGGATAGGCATCACAACCAACTCCCACTCTTTCCGCCCCCTCTCATAATTTCTCTCTCTCTCTCTCTCTCTATCTCGTTCTCTCTGTCGTCCTCATCTCTCTCTCTTTCTGTATGTGTGTGTGTGTATCTGCGCATGCGCGTGTGCGTGTATCTGTATAAACTTGTTTTCTTCGTTTTACCTTCAAATTGTATCCCATATTGCTCCGATTGTTTCATTTTTGCTTGCGTGAACATTGCCAGCACAAACCACTGACCTCTACCTCCTAAACGGATCATCGCCCATTCCCATTCGCTATACGTTACGTACTAAAAGGCTGTAATGTCTGACCGTTCATGAATATTCATGTTTTTGCTAAACTCGGCAAAATGTTTGCTTTTACTAAATGGAAAAATTACGGTGGGGGGTTGGATGAAATGGACATAATGAAATAGGCAGAAGTGATCTATGATAATTCATGCTTTTTATGTTTCGTGTGCTCGACCTATAATCTTCAAATCGCTTGGTAAACTGAGTCCAAAGTTAGACTTGTTTCACATGTGTATTATAGGCAATGACGAGCTTGCAACCTATTTTGAAAAATTACGGTGGGTGAACTTTCAAAAGTCAATGGGACATGAGGGCTTCAATGAAAGAGCTAGTGATAACGTCGGGGTGAATGTGCTTTTCGTTTAAACAAAAAATGAATTTTTAACGATTTTTAAAAAAAACGTCCATAGGCTAACATGTTAGGCTGCTGACTCTGATCATCCTCTGACGATAGGGGGCGTTGTGAAATGAGACTAAACGGAGCCATATGGTTCTTTTTTTCGTAACTGTCGACATGAATTGGGTAAATTAATACTTACCACCGCCTTTTTATCTACTTCTTTTGTTGTTTTGTGTGCTCTCCCTCTCATTCTGTTTATGATATTCCCTCCTTTTTATTAAAATCTACTACCAATCGCTTTCACATAAATGTTGGAACAGGTCAACAATAACGGTGTCATCTCGTTCTGGGACAGTTTTTCTCAATTTACCCCTGATCCGTTTCCTCTCGCTAATAATCGAAGCGTTTTGGCACCATTCTGGGCTGATGTCAACACGAATATAGGCGGTACTGTATCTTATCGACAAGTCTTAAGATTCGTCCAAAACGACAGCATATTCCTCGCAACCGATGGAATTATAAGAGCATCATTCGTTGAAATGAGAGACTTTGTGTCATCATGGATGTTCATCGCGACCTGGGACAGAATGGCTTTCTACGGTGCTAAAATTACCTCCATCGTAAGTACACTGGCTTAAAGATACTATGTTCCTTTTGCAGCCAACCTCAAATTCTGTAGAACTTTGCAGGAATTATGAATATGTCATGTATGTCCTATCTGTGAAATTTAAACGTTAGAAGTGTCCTTTTATTCAAATTATGCAAGGAAACCCGTTTACTTGCTAGACTTCACTGTCAGACACTATTGTCAGTATTGAGTGACTGACTGGCTTTTTCTTCTTCTTTGGTACTAACATACATAAAATGAGCTGTAAAGGATTTGTCTACATCAATAAACCACTTCTTGTAATTGGCAAAATTAAACTGATTGAATCTTTGCGCAGCATAAAACGTATGACCATAGGCGGTACAATGGTCTGAAAATCAAGACTATTACTTATTGGCTCTATAGCTCCTATGTCGATTTGACAACTAATAGTCGTTATTTTCCCACTTAAAGACATTTTCAAGCCCCATTTTTTTAAGGAGAGTTCTAAATTAGTATTATCTTTCAAATGCCATTGGAATTTAACTTTTTTATTTTTTGGGCCTGCAAAAGGGACATAGTACCTTTAATAGATTGTTCGCCACTGGACCTATTCATTTTAATTCATCATCTGTCAATCGCCTCCCTATCATGTTTTCAGATACTGTTTCATGATAGGGTGATATAACATACACACAAAGAAATTCCCCCGTTTTAAAACCCCGGCCGCCTATTTTCAAACACAATTAAGGAATTACAGCAGGTACTTTTGCCAAATGAGTCCTCCTGGAATTCGTTGTACTTGACAAATTATGCAATTTGTCCCCTTGAACAATGTAACATAGATATCAATACATTATGTACATGTATACATTTACTTTGGTCCGTCTGTATCTTTCACTAAAAGTACAACAGATTGCTGGTCACTTTCGACCACCATCCGGTAATTTTACCTGTTTTGTATGAATAATCTTTTTTTCTCCACATTTCATGTATATTTTGATAACTTGTTTATATTTTTGGCAGATGAATTCCTTCCAAGTTGTGATGGTGACGGACGGTCGCTTTTCCTTCGCCATCTTTAATTACGGTGATATCAACTGGACAACAGGAACTGACAATGGTGGTGATGCTAATACTGGTCTTGGTGGCACCCCTGCTCAGGTGAGTCATTACATGGTTTGATCCGTACGTATTTCCTCTTATATAGCGGAGACACGAATATATATATATATATAGTAACGAGCTCATGTAATTACAGTAGCCCTTCCCCTTCCTATGAACTAATACATCCGTCGCACCGCCAAACCAACTCCAAGCCGAGTCCAAACCGACCAATCCTCCACCAAGCGGTGTAACGTAATTTTTGGATCGGTCTATTGTCACTCAAGAGTCGGTCTCATCGGCTTTTTTGACGATCCCCTTATAATTCTAGTTTTAGTTTTAGTTTTAGACAGGACTTCAAGAGGCAGAAATGAACTATCCAGTTGCATAGCTTTAAGGAGTGATGCTCCGTTGTATATAATGATGCACTGCTGGTATATAAATCCCGTTAAATCGCTGGGTCGCATGACTTCACGACAGCGAATAGACATTCTAACTACACTTTGTAAAAATATGAGAGAAGTTTTAAAAAACAAGAGGAAAACCAAAGCTTGTGTAGAACTCGATCGATAATCTAAAAAAATGTTATATCCGTCTGGTTTTGCAGCAGCTTTAAGCCAGAAGTATTTCAATTTAGTTTCTCATCAACTTATAGATATATCTATAAACAACTCTGATGTTTTCCTTCTTTTGAGACACGCCAACACCGGACTGCCCGAAAAAGACATGGAAAGATACGAATAAAAAAATTACTCAAACCCCTATCAAGGTTTATTTGGAAATATCGCTTCAAAGTTCACCTGCTTGACTCTTAGGTTGGATTCAACGCTGGTGACGGTGTGACTTTTTACAGCGTCCCTGGATCTCAGACAGCGGCCATCGTCGATATCGAAACGACATCGAATATCGGTGTACCTGGAAGATGGGTGTTCAGAACGGACAACTCCAACATCGAAGGACTAGAGTGTACAACCTCCGGTGCGTTTACAACCTTTACCATTCTTGCACTCGCTGACGCAATCAATCTTACAAGGGGTTACTGACTTTCAGGTCATGGCGACACTCCTTCTTTCACCTTCTTCTTGTCTCAAGCGTCCTCCCCATTTAGACCAACCTGCTTTCTTTTTCCACCTTATCTCTCGATGAAATATTCGGTCTTCCTTTCACTCTTATTCCATCCACTACTATCTAGATCACACACACTTTTCACAGGCTCATCGTCCTCTTCTCCTATCCATCTCAATCCATTACTCTTTGACACTTCCACCACAGTTTCGCCCAGACCCAACCATTCTATGAACTCATCTACGTTCTTTCTATCGGACAGCTTCATACCAAACAGCAATAAAATATATAGAGTTAGGCATGGTTCTGTGTTTCTTTCTTGTATCAACATGTCACATTCCCTTCGATATATTTATTTTATCTTTTGATACTTCTCCTTCGAATATTTTATTTTTTAAAGAAGTATCAGGATAATAAAAGGTATCATATAATTACTGGAAGAAAACAAACTTAGTCCGTGGGCCAGAGGGGGCTACCTTGCACCCCCCCCCCCCCTGTGATTCTACTCCTTGGGAGTCATTTTGTTCCATTTTATCAGAAAAAAGATGTCCCCAAGAAAAAAAAAAACTTATTTAGACATTTTTTGCCCAGTTTTGAAGATATATGTAAAAATGTCAGTTTTTAGTGTTATGCACACTTTCTTAGGGTTTGTGAATTACGTGCTTAAATTTTACCCTGCTTCTCAGCAGATATAAGTCTAATCTCCACCAAATAAATAAACATTTTTTTAAATCTTACAAAAATAGGTAGACAATTTTATTTTGATTTATTTTATTGTCTTCAACTATCAATGACGTCATAAATTTGCATATATTTTGAAATGCAAATTTCTGCCATAAAATCTGTCAAAATCATCTGAAAGTTGTATTTGTCTGATTTTATCATGAAATAAGTTTTCTCAACCCCTAATTCGGTGTACAATTATTCATTGATAGGTTATCTGATGTTTCCCGCCAAAAAAAAATAAACTCAGTCAACTCGTATGCGCACCCCCCTCCCCCCCGGATATCACGATTAGTACATTCTGTATATAATGTACATTCAATCCAGGATGGATAGCGACCCCTCTGGTGGAGTCCACGAATCACCTGCCTGCCAGAGGTTTGACAAATCTGTTGCATTGCTGCAACATTTTGATCGGCTTGACTTTGCCAGTTGTTTTAAAGGCGCTTGTGGAGGCACAGCCTGTGAAAGCATGTAGTCCAAGGAGCGCTGTGCAATATTCAGGGGAGGACTGCTTGGCAAAATGAGTAAACATATATGAGCCACTGCTTGTTGCTTCTCCATGTATGGAAGAGTAATGTAATGTCTGGAGTGAGATTAGCGTAATGAAGCATATCGCTGTCTGGGCTTTTGATCTGCACATGATCATAACCTTGCTCCTTTACCGTATTGGCAGTATTAAAGGATCACGCGCGAATCTGTTTCTTCTTTGGTTGAAATGAGAGATGGAATCTCAGAACGCAGTGTCTCTCTGCCATTCTGAGAAGTGAGCAGTTTGGCTTCTCCTTCTTTGATGAATATCATCTTTGTCCCATTTAGCCTCTTAGTCCTCTTAGCCATGTCGTGCTTACTCCAGATATCCAGAAGAACTTGAATAAGTTGTTTCTTATCCTCATCATTCGTTAGGAACTGCTTCCAGTCCGATGGTCTGTTGGTCTTGCCTCCTTTAATAATCCTCTTCTCTGCACACCCACGTCCTGTCCGTTCACTTGACTTCACAGAGTCTGGCTTGTACATGTCTGTGCTGAAGATGACATCGCATTTGGACAACACTACATTGCGAATTTTGAGGCAAATGTCGTGGAAGTTTGCAAGCATCTCTTTTAGGTAGTAGAAAACAGCATTACCATCTTCCACTACCAAGGTCTTGCCAGTGGGTGGAGGTTACGAGCACTCTACATCTTTCAGGAAATCGTGTAGGCCCTTAAACGTATTTGTCTAAGCAAAGAAGTTCTTCCAATGTTCCAATTGAGTAGGGAACAGGTGTCAAAGAATATTTCATGATTTCTCGTTTCCTGATGGGGTCAGAGAACGATGTCTTTTCCTCTAATCGCTCTTTGATGAACATCTCTTTCTGGTCTTTTCCTGGAGTGTTTGAATGCATGACATCTTTCTCAACCTCAGCTGGAACACGGGCACCGGATGAGAAAACAAATAATCCTTTCTTGTCATCAACATCAACAGGATTAAGGAAGCTATATACATCATATCATATCTATACGCGAGATTTGCCATGCTTCATGATCATCTCCTCACTTATCTTGTCGATAGCACATCGGTTCCCTGGAATGAGCGACCTGGCAACACTTACTGCACCTCTTTCCAGCAATGTCATGGCACCAGGATGTGAATCTTCAATGTTTGTCAAGAATATAGCAAGGTAGGTTAGATATCTGGAGTAAATGTGACCACCAAATGTCAAGAACAGGTCAGGCATAAGGAACAGGCAGTGCAAGTACAATGTAAAGTTTTTTTTCTTTCACAGACCTGATCAATGAAAGAGCAATCCAAACGCAATCAACATACGACATCAACAATTGTGCCGTCTTTCCAAGAGATCCTTTTCGAACATCAGCTTTGAAGCTCTCATATGACTCTCCCAACGCCTTAAGATCGGCATTAGCCACAACCCCAGCAAGCCTCTCATTTGTTGGTGATCGAATTAGCTCTTGGAAGATTTTCTTTGATTCCTCAGCTATACTAAAAAGTGCATCATCTTTTTCCAGTCATTGAAAGGAACTCATCAAAAAGAAGCCTTTAAAAGCACTCTACCATTGTCTTGTGACAATGCCGACTCCTGTCATAGTTCTTTCCTGTCATGACGTCTTTCATAGACCCAGAAGACAGGAGACCAGGTTCCAAGAGGATATCTTCAAGTCCGGATCCTAACATTTCCTTTCCAAGCATCTTGGAGTATGCACAAATCACATGGAAAGTGCAAATCAACACAATGTGTTTCTTGTAATTTTATGGATGACTCAAAATGAGAGGATATGCCTTCATGCACACAACCAAGTCAAATGTTGTTATGACATAGTCTTGACCAACCTCGTGGCTTGCTTCTTCTGCAGCTCTCAGGCACTATTGGATTGAATCTAATTCTGTTGTGGTATATTTCATTACAGGAGAGTAATCTATGGTCGTCACCTTTGAAGGCACCTCCCATGTTACTGAGACAAATCCAGCCCAACATGGAAGCTCTTGATCCGTCTCTCCACTACTTTTTCGGACAAGCATCCACGAAACATCATTTATGGCACATTGTTTCAATGCTTTAAATCGGTTGACATAGCAAGGTGAAAGAGGACCTTCATGTTCAATAGCCAAGGAACGTTCTTTGGTCCAGGTACGTGCTACTGAGGGTACTGTGCTATTTGAAGATTCAACTGTCTCATTGTTCGAAATCTCCTGCAGCATAATCACATGGGCGGTGTGGACAGAGCCAGAACCACTTAAGCTTGAAATGTATTGGTCGAAATTGTCAACGTCTGAATGAAAGACTGATGGCTCCACGAGATGGCGGACTACCTGTCTAGATAGAATACTGTAAGTCTGCTGTAACGCTAGTGCTATGGCAGATTCAAGCTCAAGTGAAAATGAATAGCTTTCTCAATGAACAAGGCGATTCATGAGTGTGATCAATTGAGCACTGCGTAGAGATGTCTCAGAGTCATCCATACCATAGTTGCTTGGTCATTTTCCACTTTCCATTTGTGGCTGTTCTACATATATCTTGCCCAAGAAATATGACAAGTCTAGTCACTCTTTGTGATGGTCGAGATGGATTTCCACTCAACAAAAAATTCAGAAACTGCTCTAGCTCAGTGGGAATCTGGTCATCTATACAGGCAATGGCTTCTGCGGTTGAGGGCCAGGGAATAGCTTTAGACTCTTCAAATATTATTCTGCGGAGAAAAAGTGCTACATCCCTTAGCGCTTACTTTACAAAGGGATAGTTTACCCTTATATGCTTCATGTCTTTTAAACTTACTTTTTTTAGCTTACGTGCTCTGTACTTAGAGTTAGCAAATGGAGTGTCCTTTAGTTTATATTTGTACTTCCCACATAGGTCACTCAGTCTCAAAACCTTACACCTACCTGATATTTCATCATCTACAAAATCTACATATGCTGACAAATGCTTTCTTGTGGGCTTCTTCCATTGTTCTCTGTTTAGCTACTTCATTGTACTTGCTACTTCTCCATTTATCTGGTTCTTAGTTCGCCACATATTCCTTCCTACAGCTCTTGTGATATCTTGCTTCTGCAGCAAACAGATCAACTCCCAGGATTCTCAAAGGTAAGTCTTCATCACCAACTCTCTTCGCAACATCTACAACATTTTGCTAACAACCAAAATCTAATATTTATGTACTTTCTGTTGTCCAAGAGCTTTTCACTTTGATTGATTTTGGACCTTCCTTTTTTACAAAAGATACAATCAGGTTTGAAGATGACTTTATCAATTGATGATCTGGGAGACGGGATGTTGACCTTGTGTGGCATTAGAATAAGGTCTCTGACAGTCGATTGAGATTATTGGTAATAAGTTGGGAGCACTCCCGATGATAACCATGCACATGTGAAATGTCTTCAAGAACGAGGTTGCATGCTTCTTCCATTGCGCATTGGGCATATGTTATGTGTATTTTCAGGAGAACTTGGGTTTGATTTGATTTAGTTTGATGTTAACAGGCTAGCCCCAACAGTAATTAAAATACTGCTCGTTGAGCTTTTTTTTTTTTTAAACAGAAACTTTAATTGAATGTACATTATATATATACAAAATGCATTAATCGTAATATGCGGGGGGGGGGCGGTGGGAAACAAGTTGACTGATACTAAGAAACAAATTGCGGGAAACATCCGATAACATGTAAATGAATAGTTTTACACCAAATTAAGGGGGTAGAAAAAACTTTGGAAAACTTTTTTATGTTAATAGCAGACAAAATACTACTTTCAGGTGATTATG